CTCCAAACTTTAAAATAAAAGCGCTACCTATTTAATTTTTTTTGTATAGAATTTAAAAAGTTACCTTTAAATTGTTTGTAAAATGGATAAAATATTTCTATATTTTTTTGACCCAGAGAAAAAAAATTCAATTAACAAGGATTTTAAAAGCTATTAAATATGATCATTTTCAGAAATACACAATTTTTTTGTATGAGCCGAGAAAATTACCCAATAATATTTCTTAAATTACTATAAAAATACAAGAGTAATTTCGAAGACTTATTTATTTATTTTATATTGGGACTAAAAAAGTTGAGATGCCTTGGCAATAGAAAATGGATAACAAGTAAATAAAATTCCTTCAATTTCATTTATCCTTCACTCAATACAATTTGTTTGTTTTACGAGCCCCGCCATCTGAATTTATTTTATGTGGGATCCCGATTGTCTTCATGTCCAGTTATTACCGCCAAAAGCCTGCTGATGAAATCAAAATATGGTAGAAGTATTTTCATAACCAGGACCAAACACGCACACACAACCACACACACACACACACTGGGCAAATCCAGCGGGAGGAGAACTTTACAGCTCGTTTTTGAGGTACGCAACGATGTCCTGCGGCGGCCTTTGGGCCCTCCAATGAACAGTTGAAACGAATTCGGCTCGCATTCCCTTTCCCTTTTTGTTTTTTTGTATGCCATATTTTTTATTCGCCTCTTTCTGGTATAAATTTCATTTTTGGTATGTTTAGAACGGCCAGCGGCATATTTTATGTACAACTTCAACACTCGCAGCATGTGGGTGTGTTATCGCACTGCATTTATGTATGGCCATGTGAGCGTGGACGGATGCCTTCCACGTGGGTTACTTAACATACAAAGGCCTTTAATTTCGTCTAAAGCTAAATAAACTTTATACCCTTTGGTATCTGCCATACATCTATATATCTCTACCTATTCGCAGAAGTGTGTGTGCGGGTGTATGTGTGTATTACGTATACACCTGCGGTCATGCCGCCACCAAAGGACCTTCTCCATGTGTGTTTGATGTTTGGGCTACGTTCTTTGGAGCTCTCAATCTCTCTGTCTCTGTCCCCCGCTGTTTTGACTGTGTCTGTGCCACTGTTGCTGTTGCTGTTTTTGTTGTTGCAATGTCCTTGGGCGCATATTTGCATGTTTTATTGTATCTGCTGTTCCCCCCTGGTTTAGGCCACGCCCCCCAACCCCCCTTTCTTTCCCAAAACCAGCGCCCGAGGACAATCCACCGCCCTCAGTACGCATGTACCTATGTTTTTAATTCTTTACATCGATATTTGGCCGCTGGCAAGTCAAAAACGCGAGCCGCTGCCAAAGGTTGATTGCGGCACCGAAAAGTGGGTGGTGGGTTTTCCGGGTGTGGGTGTGGGTGTGGCTGTGGCTCCCTTTTTTGGCCAGGGAAAAGCGGACAGCAGCGCGTTGGAGGCGATTTTCCTCAAAATATGCATGATATGTGTGCCTACACCTTTTGTTATGCATTTGTTTTGATGTTGAAATCTAACCATTGCTGCCGGGCATTCGCCACATTATTTGCACAGTTTAAAGAGCTCAATGGAGGGTGGCGAATTAAAGTCCAAGTCCGTGAGGGTGAGGGCTAATTAAAAGAACGCTGCATACTCCAAGGAGCAGCAGATGGGGGCGACTTTTCTTTGGCAGCTCACATATTTACACGCTAGTTTCCCATTACCGGGATGTCTTGCAGTCGCAGTGCGATTTTTAATTTGCGTTATACGAGGATTTTCCTTTTGCCTGGCCCGCGGCTCACATGTGGAAAGGAGTGGTGGCACTGGGAAAAAGGACAGGCTTCGAGGATGAGAAATGGATAAAGAAGGAGCAGGTACAGGTGCAGGCGAAGGACGAGGCGGAGGTGGAGGTGGAGGTGGAGGAGGAGGCGGAGGAAGAGGAGGAGGGGCAGCGTAGCGTGACATCGCCGGAGCAGCAAATGTCACGCTTCACTCATTTCCGTCCCATGATGTCGACCGACGACGTCGTCGTCATCATCATCATCATCATCATCATCGCCATTGCCTCGCTGCCTGCTGATGAAGCTCAATGGTTAGTGGCAGTCAACCAGGAGTTTTCCCCCGTTTCCTCCAAAGAAAACCACATGACAATATTGGTAGGTAGGCTGCAGAGAAAGAAAAAGTGTATCAAGAGTAAAATCTGACAATTTGAAATCAATTTATTGCTGCCTAAGACTTAAGATTTAAATTAAGAAAACCATAATACATTTAGTGACATCCTACTCTGATTTTAACAGAATGACGACAATATTTATAAACAAAACCTAAAATCGCAGAAAAAAAAAATAAAATAAAAAAAAAAAGACTTTCAGCGGTCCGAACTTGTTGATCCAGAACCTGAAATATGTATGTTTTCTGCTGCAAGTTTGCATTTGGATTTTTTCAAGAGCTGATGAACAATAAGTGTATTTACTGTGCGCTTGTGTTGTAGAATAAAATTGTAAAATTTTTTTTGGAATATTAAAAAGAGGTTTTCCCCTTATTATTATAGAAAATGCAAAGGTTTGTCGCATCATTTTGACTACAACCAAAAAGAAGCATAAAGATTAGTATTAACAAGTGTCTTGAAAATAAACTAAATGCAGTACTATCTTTATTTTTTTCTTTGTGCAGGAAGGTGGGGTGTGGCACCCCTTCTTCGTCTCCGTCCTCGTGCTTGTTCCCGTTCTCGTTGTGGTTCTGGGTAGGAAAACCCCTCAGCCGGAAGCACTTGAGAACTTGCAATGGCCATGGGGCATTTGGTGCGGTTTCGTGCGTCGTTGCCCTCGATCCCCGTTCCCCGTTCCCCTTTCGCCGCCAGCCCCCCCTCTTCCACGGCATCCTTGACGCCGAGTTCGCGAACTGAAAATTCCCTTCGTTTTCATTATGTTGCGGCCATGTTGTCCTTGCCTCGGCCTCGGCCTGGTCTCTCGGTCTGCTCCTGGCTCCTGCTGCTCCTCCTGCTACTGCTGCTCCTGCCGATTCCGCTGCGGTTGCTCCTCCATCATGGTTCTTTTCAGAGACCACGCCATCATTATTATGAACACCGTTATGCCCAGCAGGCATATATTCCAATTTGTTGTTGTTGCCGGCGCTCTTATTCCGCCATCGCCAGCGGTAGTCGCTTTTGTTGTTGCTCCTCTTGGTGTTCTTATATGACCGCCAAGTCTCTCTCTTTCCCTGGATACCCAGCACTTTGGTCAGGGGTCAAGGGAATGCTGGAATTGGGGATTAAATGGGTACAGTCTGTCTATCTCATTAAGTACACCGACTACTTTTTGGTTTTTGAACTATTTTTTTATTAAGTAAAGCATATTTTGAAACATTTTCTCAAGTGACAATCAAAACATTTTACAAAAGCAAACTTTACAAAGGCGGAAATATATCCAACTAATATGTAGAAGAGGTCTGAATTTTCTTAAATTTTAATTTAAATTTAGCTTCAAGCAGGGGTATCTCCAAGTTCAGTACCAACGCGAACTAAGATTACTTCACTTGTTCCCTTATTTTCGTTTATTTTGCAACATTTTGTGGCATTGCGCTCGCGTTGACAAAAGTCTTGATGCCTTCGCTTCGCTTCGTGTGCTATTTATGAGTAATAAGAGAAGATGACTGCCGGGGACTGGCAGTTCACTTACCTGTTGTGACTGTGCTTGCAGATTGGCCCCGCTGTTGCATTGCGATTGCTAATAAATTCTAGATTTGGGAGGCGAACTGCATATGCAAATAAATAGTTGGGCCAACTAACTGGCCGTGGACGCCTGCGAGCACTGCAAAAACAACAGCAATAATAACAATAATCGTGCCACATTTAGATAGCGCACACAGAGAAAAACGCTTTTAGCCAATTGAGGAGTTTAAACATTGGGCCAAGTATGAAATTTGTTAGCCCATTTCCCTCGCTCCCACTCAAAATGTTAAGTTGCCGTTGCCGTTGCTGCTGCTGCTGCCGCTGTCGCTGCCGCAGTCGGCTGCTTATCTCTGGCGCTGCTTGCAACATTCGCTGGGGGGCATTTTTACTTTTTGGGTTTTCGATACGAAAGCCGCTGCCCCGGCCCGCCCCCTTCGTTATTGGGAGGACCAAGAGGACCAAGAGCACCACTAGCTGCTGCCCAAATGCAGTTGGCCTTCTGGGCGTGTGGAAGCGTGTGGGAGCCAGGTATGCGAACGTGAGTGGCTTAAGCCTTGCAAGAAAATATACTACAACAAATCCGTAACTATAACTGAAATTATACGTCACTCAGTTTGAGGCATCAAATTAAACGTTTACAGCTATATTCAGAGACAATATTAATTGTCTTGCGAGACCTAGAATTATATTTTACTGGTTAAAACTCGAAGCTAAGTAAGTTTTTACCAATAAAACGTGTTTAAAATGTTTGTTCGGTTTCGATAAAATTTTTTTTCAATTAGAATTTCCTTTGCAAACGTGTTGCGAACTAAAGCTTAATTGATGTGTCTATTATTATTGTTTAAAAAATTCCTGGCGATAACAATTCGTTAATGCATAAAGTGTTCTTTTAATCTACTTTTTTCCGGCTTTGGTTAATAAATTTATTATCTAGTGACACCGGCAATATGTAGTAGTAATGTACTTTTCATTCGTGGTATAATAAGTTTATTAATAATTAAAAAGTTTGTTTTTATTTCTGAGATGTGAATTTATATTTTTATGAATATAATTTTGAAGCAAACGCTAAGCTAAGCATTCATCTGGAAATTCTAACCAATAAAAAATGTATGATAATAGTGAGTCGTAAAATATTTTTACATGCCGAGTCATTCGTGTAAATAAATCTACAAATATTTGTACTCAAAAAAAAAAAAAAAAGAGAAAATAAAACAAATAACATTAGACAACTGATTTTGAATACATTTTTTCTCATTATGAGAGCATTCTCAAATTAAAAAAATTATCCCCAATGTAAGTATTTTTTCTTAAAATGAGTCCTAAAAAACATCAGTTTTCACCTTAAAGTTTAAACGAATAATGTGTCACCTTTATTTAACGATAATCCACAATTGGAAAATTCAAGGTACCTGGCGAACAGTATCATTAATATTTTCGTTAATAGTTTTCAGAATCCAGCCCATAAAGTGTTGGACTCTTGTGTAAACGCCGAGTCCGGTACAGAAGGAAGATCCGTAGCTGACAATGCCAAACTGGAAAACCCTTTGGGTTTTATTATACTTTTTTAGTGCGCTCAACGGACCTCCCGAATCGCCGTTGCATGTGTCGCTGGTCATACTACCAACACATATCTGAGATTTATCAATAACTTTGCCAAATTTTCGGCTGCAAAGTACCGGTTTGAGAAGTTCTAACGTGGCTGTCTGTAGAATCATGCTGATTTCGCCTGAATCGGTTTTACCCCAGCCAACGGCTTTGAAATCTCGAATGTTATTTCCAAATCGCCTACCGACGGGCAGACAAATTGGTCTGATATAGTCTACAAAAAAAATGGGTATTAGTTTGGTTGATCATTGTTAGTTTGACTATTTATCATTTACCTGAAAACTCCACCTCTTTGGCCATTCGAAGCAGAGCTATGTCATTGTTTGAGATTTGATCATAGCCGTATTTAGGGTGGACAATCTGTCTATCGACATCCATGACTTGACGATTATTTAAGCAATCCTTACGCGTGCAATTTCTATCGTATTCGCCCAAAACCACCTGCCTGCAAACAATAAATTGTTAATTAATAAGAAAAAAAGATCCCAATTTTTTGCACTTACTTAGGCGACGCGAAAAGGCAACTGGCTGAAGTCAAAACAAAACCTGTAGAAGAACAATGGCAAATAAGTAAAGTTGAAAAATGTATAAAAGTAAAATACGTACGAGAGGTGATAAGCGAACCGCTGCAAACAATATCATTTTCTCCGAGCACGAGAACAGCCCAAGGATTCGAGTATCTTTCAGCATTTCGGCCTCCAACTACCCGACGAATTCTTCGTGGGATGCGCCTAGTGGTTCCACAGTTCTCCTCCAGCAAGACGGCCGAGCCTTCCTTTGCCCAAAGAAATAGACAGGCTGCCACCACGATTGCCGCTATGAAGTGCTTCATGTTTCTGCGAGTTTTGAATGTCGTCCAGTCCAGTCGCGACGAAATTTATATAGAAATTTAAAACGTGATAAGAAATAAATGTTTCCCAAGCATGAGTTCTTTGTGATTTCCCGGTGTTTCACCTAGTATTAAAAGCTCTAAAATTATTCATTTGTTTTTATTACGAATCATTTAAAATAAATTCATGCACCAAGAATATGCAATCAGTGCTTATTTATAAAATGTTACCTCTTTTTCGTAGGACTACTGCTAAATTAAAATCTTTAACAAAGCAACTGGTATATATAAGTCGGGGCTCTTGACTTTGTCGTTTCTCCTTGTTTATTAGCTATTTTTAATGCCACAATATTCGAAATGGTTTTCTGAATAGGTATTATTTTGAATTGGAACCGGGGAAATCCCAGCTGTTATCAAAAACACTTATATGGATCGTAAATTTTTAAAACATTTTACGATTTCTTAAGTATTAGTATAGAAATATGACGAAAGTGCGTTTCAATGTTTTTTTTTTTAATTTTTATGTTCATACATAGCTTTATAGTCAATAGATTTAAAAAAGAATGTTGTGCCTATAAATGCTAAAAAAAATTAAATGGTGTATTTTATAAGACGATTTAAAAGGGTTTAAGTTCGTGTCACGTTGCTACCACTCCTGGCGTGTGTTAAGTTGGCCGTAAATACTTTTGGCCTCGCCTGGTGTTTGGCATTTGGTGTCTGCTGTTTGCTGCCTGCTGCCCAAGTGCCTGGATACTTGGATGCTTGGATGCTCGGATGGTCGGATGGTCGGGCACTTGGGTTTGGGTGCTTTGGTGTCTTACCGTTCCTCGCTTTTTGGCATCTGCTCTTTAGCCCTAAGCTGGGATTCGGTCGCTCGTTGGTTCGGTTGTTCGTTGCTTTATGAAATATTTGTGCTGCAACTTTATTTACAATTTTTTCGGTTATTTATTGTTGGCAATTTATGCTTTCGTTATGCATTTTTCGTTTCTTGTATTTGGTCAGTTCTTGCATTCTGATTTATTGGTATTGGTGTGTGCGTTTGTGGGCGTATATGGAGCCCAGTGTGCTTGTTTTGCCCATATTAAAATGGGCCCACACACGCACACCCCACACCGACATATTTGGCAGTCCAAACAAGTTATGAAAGAAATTTTTGGCAATGTTGCTAGAAATTCGAGTACAATTGCAAATTTCTCTTAATTGCAGCATGTGCTGTTTGCAGGGTTGCAATTAGTTGTTGCATATGAGAACAGGATGTATCAGTAGCGTAGTCTTCAAAAAGGATTTTATAAAGATTTTTGGGATCTAAAATGTTACTCAAAAAAAAGGTCGAATCATTAGACAAATAGAAATATTAAAATGTAAAATAAATAAATAACTAACAAAAAAGAACAAACTAAACACAGTAGTAATTTAGTAGGAAAGCAGACAACCATTACTTTTTAACATGTCAAAGGAAATAATAAAATCACAGAAAAATAAAACTAGAATTTTAATATTCAAACTAAAGTTTCTTGCAATCCTTCATATTCATACTGTTCTTAGAACGCCCCTGTACAAATGGTTATGATTTCTCTTGGTACCTAGTTATTATTTATTTTTCGTTTTCAATATTCATGCTGTCTGCTAAATTTTCGGGCAATTGTTTTGGGCCTTGTTCTTTCGGCTTCCTGTTCGGCCATGGACAAGTTGCAATCAAAATCAAGGCACTGAAAAGATATTTCCCTAAATTGAACATGACACATTTGTTCTGGTCCAGCTGCGCATAATGAATGTTTTCAATCTCAGTCCCAGTCTCAGTCCTTGGTGGGAATGAGTTTGCATTCGGCCAAGTGGGGCCAATGAAACGCAAGTTAAATGGCAATCCCGCAGAGAAAATAACCATAACCATCATCATTTCGTGCTGGGCATTGTAATTAAAGAACCCAAAAGAGCCGAATAACGAAGCATTCGAGTGAAACTCTTATAATCTCCACTTGATTGAACTGCACTCGTTCATTTGTCAGCAGCAGATGCAAATATTGATAGCCGTATCTGCATGTAAGTAGATTTCAGTGGCATTTTTGCTTTGATTTTATGACTTTTATTTCCTCCGTTGGCCACATAAATTCCAGTCTCTGTTTCTTATTTTTTGTTGTTATTGTTTCGACAGTCATCATATATCAATGTCCTTGCAATTGATAATAGAGTGCCGTGCACCGCAAATGCAACGTCAATACGGCTGGCTGTATTAAAAATCAAAATCTGGCCGCTGGGCAAATATTTGATCTGACATTTGTTGTTTTCTTGTCTTTTGTCTTATTTATGTTTATTTACCTAATGCCAAGTTATCGTATTTAAATCAAATATTTGACTAAAATATTATTTCTCATAATAAGAAAAATGGCGAGAGCCTTGAGCTCAATAAATACTTTTGCGTGTGTGCGTTTGTGGATTTTAAATGGAAAATAATGAAGTTGTGGCCCGCTTAAGTTGCCATCCATTGTCAGTCAATCTGCGTTTAAAATACCTCTTTACGGATTTTTGCATATGCCCCCTGACCACTTGACCCCCCTGACCACCGATGGCAACTGCAATCAAAATTGCAAATACAATAATATGAAAAGCACAATGAAATAAATTGCAATACCTCAAGCTATGTAAATGGGCCAACTCCGGCGACTGGGCAGCGGTGTCCTGGACACGCACACACACACACACACACACACACACGGTGACCCCCAGAGCCATGCACATATACACTTTCCGCCCGCACAACACACTCCCAAATCATGCGGGCTAAAAAGAGAAAAGGTTGCCGACCTCCTCTTTTTTGGCTTTGGCTGGGCTTTTAGCCAGGTAGTCATGCTCTTAACCCAATCAAACTGTTGCCAAAATGGGAAGAATTGTTTATTTCCCATATTACAGAAATAGGTTTAGTAGAGAACAAATCGCTTTGGTTTTACAATTTTTGCTTGAGTGTCTTTTCTTATATTAGCTTTAAATCTATTTTAAGAACTTTACCGGAATCTTTAAAATATTTTTAGAAATTCAGCACAAATTTAAAATTATTATTCAGGGTGTTTTCAATCGAAATTTTGTTAAGTGAATATTATGAATGCGTAGTTCCGTCACTGTATAAGGACCATATTTAAACAAGTCTCAAGATAAGTAAAATTATCATATTGGACTTTTTCAAAATTTATTTATTTATTTAAAACATAGAAGTATGCTATAAAATTATAAAATAAATTTTTTGAACTAAAAATTCTGATATCTTATTCATCACCAGGTGCTATGAATGTTCCAGGGTAATTTCTCTTCGTTTCTGACTGTCTGCATATCCAAACTCCTTTTTTTTTTTGGTGTTGCTGAAGGGGGGTCTGAATGCTGTTGGTGTTGCTGGTGGGACGGCCTCGTAATCAGCATTTGTGGCGCTCGAGGTCATCCAAAAGTCTGCAGGCGTTGTCGGAGTCGTCGTTGCCGTCTTCGTTGTTGTTGCTGTTGATGTTGTCGTTGTCGTTGTCGTGTTGCATGTGGCACAGCAGCAACAACAACAACAACAACGAGAGTTCCGTATGACGCCGCTTCATCTTCCTGTTTCTGGCCGGCGGCAAAGTTCTGGGTTGACTGGAATATTATAATTACAAGCGAAACAGGCCCCAGAGCTCTGCTCTCCTCTGTTTCGGCCCAGGCATCAGCTTTGGCTTTGGCTTGGGCTTCGACTGAAGCTGTAGCTGTGTCAGTGCACTGTGCCGAAATACATGACTTTACTTTGGGAAAACCGTTTTTGATTTCTTCATAGAAACATAAATTTCAAAATGATGCCGAAAATTTGAGTGTCGTCATTTCTGGAAACTCAATGGGCTAGTTAATAAATTTATTGATTGAAATACTTGGAAAAAATAATATAAACAAAAGCTTTTGTTTCCAATAGTTGAGATTAATGTTAACCAGATACTTAAATGATTATGATTTTTAATTTCGTGGCAAAAGCTAACTGACATCGCTGAACACAAAAATATCTTTCGGCATAAATGTGATCTTACAAAAGATTATCCAGAATAAATATATTTTGTCTCAGTATTTACCTGTATCTGGAGCTTTTGTAGCCATGGCAATAGCGAGTGCGAGTGGCAGTGGGAGTGAAAGGGGAAGGAGATCCTGATACCCAAATGAAGTCAAAGCAGCGCCAAAGGTGTCCGCGCTGACGTTGTGACAGTTTCAGTTACCGTCTGACTTGTGCAGCAAGTGGGGCTTGGCGAAGGGAGTGGGGAGTGTGTGTTGCGGCGGGTGTAAGCCGGTTGCATGTGCCTATGTCGTACAGCTGTTGCCACTGCCACAGCTTGTTGACTGACTGATGCGATGCGATGCGTCTCAAATGCCACAGATGAAGAGGTCTGAGCCGGGCTCGAACAACTTCATTTCGACTCGGGGTTCGTGTGAAAATTATTAAGATACATTTCCCCCAGCAACGGGCAAATGGTCGAAAACGAAAAGTATCCAACAACTCCCCTTACCCTCCCCTCTCCTCCCCTCCCCTCCCCTCCAGGTGTTCGTCTGAGGCCCTTCTACCGCTCCTCTAAGCGGCGGACATTGGCGATTATCTTGTCCACGACTGTGAAACAAATGAGCGTCGTCGTAGTCGCACTGAGCCAAAGATGTTGCCCCAGGGACATTTGCCGCATTGTTGCTTCAAAGAAGATAGGTTTCGGCCTGTATCTGCATCTGTATCTGCATCTGTATCTGTTACTGTGAGTGTTTCTGTGAGTGTTTCAAGGCAGCAAAAAAAGAGTTCCCACATTCCGTATATGTGAGAATATCGCCCTCAGTTCAATTGGCATCTATTTTGGTGCGGGGCCTTCGAGCCAAGTTGGCTTATTTGCGCCCTGGGAGGCTCCAACTGTATTAATAGGGCCGCTAATGGTCGAGGGCCTCGGAATTAAAACGGAAATGGGTCTAGATAATTAACATATCCAATCAAGTTTAAATTAATTTGGAGCCTATTAACGAATCATGTTGGACGCACTGAATAGCTTTTATGGTTAGTCATTCGGGAATTTATAGTAAAAAAATCTTATAGTGAAAGAACCCAATTGTGAGTCATGTAGAGGGGTTCTTTTTTAAGTTTTAGAAACCCAATTTTTATGAATGACAAAAATAAGTGAGTTTCGAAACAGTAATAATATGTTTTTTACCCACGATATATCGTATTTCACAGAGATAATTTAATACTGTAGAAAAGCTATGAAAAAATTGTTTATTATTTTTGTGGGATTTCCCTCTCAAGTGGGGAATACTTGTTTCTAATTTGCAATCAAAGTTTGGAAGTACTTCCTCTTTGGGGCTATTTCACCATCTCCCTCTGGCAGCCAGTTGGATTTAGTTCTTGTCTGGCCGGTGGGCAGATTTCATATTCGGATAGTGAAAGAGGAGGACTGAACTGAGACTGCGAATAAGAAATCGGCCGGCGGCCATCCGTAAGATACTCTTCTCCCCCTTTCGTTTCGCAGATACTCGGCATTGTTTGCGTTGTGTTTACGTTGTAAATGGTTGTTGCAACTACCACTTCCCATCATCCGCACTTTATGCTGATTTCTGCGCCTCGAACAAGTTCGATGTTGGCCTCTGCCGCCGAGAAGTATCTGTGATTTACGAGCCTCCTTAGCCGCTCACAAAAATATTTTCAAATTACACAAATTGTGCCATGCGGGCCAGAGTTGGAGACTTGGGGCCCCAAGGGGTTAAGGCCACGGATTAGTCGGCCTGGGGCCGTGACATTTATCCGATGTCAGAGCTATAGATGTGCGGGTGGTGCGGGTGGTGGTGCGGCAGGTGGATAAAGAATGGATATCTGCTGTTTTTTCGCTCTGCCGCTCCTTTGTGGACAATGGAATTTCAATTTACCGGCAATGGAATGTTTTTGCAACACGCGCTGGCAATCTAAATTTATGCATGAACATTTTCTAATACCACTTAGAATAACAGAAATAATTTATTATTTTTAACACTTTACAATTTCCGCGCGCTCGCTGTACACATACATATAGTGTGTTTGTGTGTGCGGGTTTTTGGTTCTATTTTGGCAAAACAACAAAGCTTAATATTTGTTTTTCATTTGTTAGCCCGGCACCAGGTGAGACAGGTGGGAAATGAGGGGCGTGGCATTGCAGAAGAGGCGTCGGAGCGCGAGTCCTGTTCAACACTTTGCTGGGGTACAAAAAACACCGAAAAATATCCATTTATAAATATTTTACAATAAATATTTCGCCATGGAAATAGAACTGAATAACAGTGCGCCGTTTTATTATCGAAATGCAGACTGTTTGATTAAAACCTTCATTTCCCTCGCCCATCAGAATATGGGGACCCTCAGCAGTCGCATCAGGTAGTAAAAACACTTCATCGGCACAGCCGAGTTGTTCATCTTGGCCAGATATCGCCGTTCCTCGTTTATATGTTCGCTAACATCGTAGCACAGGATATAGGCCAAGTAAACTAAGGTGGCCAGCAGCAAGAGTAGGCTATAAGTGTGGTGATCATCTGAAAAAGTCGGTGAGTTGTAAATTGATTCGGTATATGCCACTCTTACCGATGAATTTTAATACAATATGTATCTGATCGGAGGGCCAGTCACTTAGTATTTTGATAATGTTTTTATTTTCAGCAGTTTCCTTTGAATCCTTTGTGGATAGAATATCGGGTTTCCATTCTGGTCCTATCAATTGTTTCCGAACTGTTCTGCCCTCGACTTGTTCAAGGACTGCTCTTAAGGTTTTTTTTGGGTTTTCGGAATATCGAAAGGGTTTCTCAGCGGGCTCTTCCAACTGTGGTTGGACTGCAACCTTTTGTGCGCTATTCACCATTTTTCGAAATTTTTCTTGGATTTTGGGCTGCTTCGTAGCTGTGATGACTGGTTCGGCACAGAGCGTGACATTGCTTTCTGGAATTTGGCGACTTAACTAATTTAAATCATTTCCTTTATATGCTTTTTCTAAGATATTTGAATTGCTTACTTACCTTACGATAAGGTTTCGAGATTAGAGGTACGACTATCTTTTCAGTGCATTCCCTATTTTGTTTCTTAAGCTACAGAATCAGAAACCCATGAACAAGATTAATACATTTTTTGTAGAAGAATATTGTTTAATACACACCTTGGACTTGACAATATTTTTCTTTCTGAAGCCTCCCATATTAGGAATAGATGGGCTTCTTTTCCAGTTACCACCTTGATTTTCATCGACTTCCTTTGCTGTTTGCTGCTGCTTCACTTGATTGCGTATATAGGCCCTTGCCTTGTCTGAATCCTGGCCATTGGGTTGACGTGGGATCCTCCTGTTTCCCCCTGAACAGTCACTCTCATAGCCTTCTTTGTCCAACAGAAGTAGGCATAGATCATATAGATCCTTGTTCTCAGACTTGGAACTGCGTTCCAAAAGGCTCGGTAAATCGGGAGAAGCTGTAAGGTGTCGATCCTCGATTCCACTTACAGAATAAGTGCTCAATAGACCGTTTGGTGCTACTTTTGTGTGACTGGCATAAACCGAGGATAGACTTGTATGGAGTATAAGGATTAAATTGTGATTTATAAAGACATATTCGTTTTAAGTAATATACATTTTATGATAATTTAGGATGTAATAGCTACTTACGAGTCGGCCACAAACTTCTTAGCTTTGTGCAACTCAACTATGGTTTTGTCTCTGGAGGAAAATAAATGCACAAATTAATTTAATTTAATTTCATCTACTATTAATCAACAAATGAACTTACTGTTTTATGGGCATGGCGTGTAACCGTGACATTTTACTTTCCGATCACTATATATAATCCGTGTGTAGCGAGAGCTAAAATAAAGTTACACACATATGTAGGTGCAAATTAATTTATGTTGGCAGTGCGTGAGTCGAAAATGTATTTGATACATATATATATATATATATTTGATACGAGTGTCATGGGCTGCTGTTCAGTCGATCCCTTGGGGGCACGTTTCACACATTTTCGCATTAATATGCAATTAAAGCGGAATAGTTGCAACTAGTTGCAGTAGTTGCACTGGCGAGCTGTTAGCTTGTGAGCTGCGCAGGCGCATATCCTTGGGCAACTCTCCACGACCCATCCTGGCGATCGCCTCTAGCACTCCTTCAGCTTCTATCTCCGGCTGCTTCCGTCCCCCCTCCAACCCACCAACTCTACAACCCTCACCACCCCGCTCCTGTTCCCTTGGCCGCTCATCAGAGCGTCTAAGTCCTGCGGCAACATTAACACAGCGAAGCGCAAGGACCTCGCTGCCTCAGTTGGCGGCGCTGCCCGCCGCAGGACATTTTTTCACGCAGCGACGCTTTTTCGTACAGTCGCCGTGCAGCGAAAGCGGTTCTCATCCGCAGCTCCTTCAACTTGGTTCCGCACTTAGTACATAAGCCGCTGTATATAAACAGATGAACACTGGGAAAAACAATGCGAAAACGAGGCAGATTGAAGTCAGCAATATAAATAAAAATGTATCTTTATTAAATTTTTATTTATTTCAATATATTGTCTTTATGCTCATTACAAAAAGCCTATTTTCTCGATCTCCTCGTGAGCTAAAAGACGTATGAATATAGCCAGCTTGAAAACTACTCATAACTAACCATTCAAATTAGCAATCGTAGAATAATAAATTTCTTGAAGAAAGTTAAATTCGTATCTTTACTTATAATTATTTTTAAAGTCTTTAATAATATATACATAAGCAATAAGAACTCTGTCTTTGACAAGTGTTTTTCGTGATTGGCATAAATTTAAAAATTCAATTTCAAATCTAAATGGACACTTAACCTCGAGTTGAAAAAAACGCTTAATTCTTAAATAAAAATAGTCATCTTTGACTTAAAAAAAAAATTAAAATGATAATGATCAAAATATTTAATTTAATTTTAAATTTAAAGCTGTTTTTGTTGACGAACAAAATGAAGCCTTGATTAGTATTGACGTAAAGCCTAAAACGTACCTTTCAGCTTGTATTGGAATAAAAATGTTTTTAATATATGACCTATTTAAAAATTAAAACGTTTTTTTATTAATGCCAATTTTTATATGTGCCCCATTTAGTTCATATAGTAGTATTAACTTCATGCTATTTCTAAAAGCTAAAAAACTACTATTTGTATAACGCCAGCGATGTGTGTATTTTTCTTTAAAAGAATTTTTTTAAGTGCAGCCCTTGCCAACGGCCATTTGGTATGGCGCAACTAAAATGCAGTTGTTGTTGCTTTTTTCGCTTTTACCCGTATTTGTCTTCTGCCGCTGTTGTTGCTGTTGCTGCCGCTGCTTTGGAATTGTTGGCGGTTCTTTGCCAACGCCATCGGCTATTTGAGGCAAGAAGTTGGCCCGCGGGCTCCGGCGGACAGCCAAAGCAGCTGACAGTACGCCAGACGATGACTTGACTCCGGCATTGACTTGAAGAGTTGAATGCCATTCCCTTTTCGGGCTTTAATTGCGTTTGAGCAGTGCAAAAAAAAAAATACATATTTATGTAGAACAAAGAATTCGAAAGCCAAAAAGCGAGATTGAATTGTTGTTCATTCAATTAAAAGGGGCGGACTGAGGCGGCGGCAGATTATTTAAACGCCTAGAAACGTACTTTGATTTGGATTTTGTTGTATGCAACTGTCAGTTGCATGCATTTCCAACCGAATGCATTTGGGCAGATATATTCAAAGGGGGTTTATCGTTGGGGAGTGGAACAGTTTCGTTTGTTGCGCTTATTCATTCGAATGTTAATTAAATTGTATTTAAACTGTATCGACTTTTGACATATGCCTCGTCTGCGCTGCCTGCTCACTGAAGCGCCTAATTTGATCAGAGAAAAAGTTTCGTTTATGGAATGCATATCCTTTGAATGGGGGAGTTCGGCATCAATATGTCCTCCATCGTGGAACCGGCTATTTAATGCATATTGTATTTAAGCAATTGTGTGAAAATTATAGAATTTGAGGTTGATAAACTATAACGATTCAATTTAATCAGAGAAAATATTGGTTATTTTCATTAATAATTTTCTTGATTAGGAAAAGTGCAATTTAAACATGTTTTATTTAATGTGGTTTTATTTTAAAGCAAATTTATACATTTATATTATAAATTAATACATAAGAATTTCCATGGAAATTCAAGAAAACACGTTCTACTTCTTCTATATCTTTTAGTCTCAGACAAACAAGATGGCAGACAGGAAACGTCATCAGCAATGCGGCATGATTTCCGTTAAATTTTTTGAATGCACTTCCTGCTGCACGGGAAATTAAAAGGCTGTCTATGCGGCGTATGTGTAATATTGGGGCACACACTCGTAGACAATGCTCCGAATGGCGGAATGGCAGAATGGCAGAATGGCAGATAAGTCGTTCCATAATCATAATAATAACAATGCCTGGCTCCAGTTCGGAGTCATTAAGCGTCGTTTTATGGCCATTGTGTGGGCCACAACTCCTCCGATGGCTCCTATCCCGTCCAGTCCTGGCCAATTGGTATGCATATTTGGCTATTAAGTGCAGCGGGCGAGTGCGGGCGAAAGAGTTATCTTCAAGCCACTAAATTGCAGCCGATAAACGCGGCCAAAGCAGGCGGAATAATGGCTACCCAAAACTTTTGGCTACCCGGCCGAGCCGTCGTATCAGCTGAAAGAAATTTTAATTAAATGTCGCCGCAAACGATGCGGTAATATGCAACGAGTCGAACGGAGTCGAGAACCCATCGCTGGTGTCGCAGGTATGGGGGCATTATTTTAGCATTCAATATGATTGCAGCCTGGCGGGCCATTTGGCTCAATTTATCACAATGCCAGAGCCGGCCAAGCCGGGCCGCTTGACCAGAAATCAGAAATCAGGAATCAGAAATGAGCCTCATGCCGCTGTCAAGCGCCTCGACTGCACTTAATACCGTTTTCAGACTGCCGTGAATTGCATTTCATGTGTCAGCGTTTTTAAGCGCTTTGCCCCCCGAGCGTTTTTGCCTGAGTTTGGCTATTCGGATTGGGGTCCGTCCATTGACGTCTAATTTATGGAGTGAGAGCTGCGCCCGCAACGCCAGCTGAGCTATTTAATAAGCAAACAATGCGGGAGTAATGCGAAAAGAAATGGAAAATCCTTTGGCCCTTGAACTGCCATGAGTAACGAAAGGATTCGTGAGTGGGGCGGTGTTGGAGGTCACAATCACAGTCAGGGGTGCGCTGAGGATCCACAGAGAGCACCGGCTAAGCGCAATCTGGATGACATGAAACGATCACGGTTGCTCTTCGATTGAACATACTCACTTATTTATTATCAGTATACATATGTATATTCTTAATCTGAAATTATTAACCTCCCAAAAAACATTTTTGGGTTTTCCTCTTCTTATCTTCTTGGAGGAGGTCACATTTTTGTCATACCAGCTATCCCCTTAAGCCAATTCAAAAATTACTTTCATATCTTCCGGAAACCTACTAGCCGACGACCAATAGAACCATACATTGATTATGGAATGTATCTTTTTTTTTGTGAAATTAATTTCTGCATCATTTTTTTGAAGCTGCTTTCAGACAGAAATAAATCGTATCTATTTTTATTATAATATGTGTTTAATAACGAGAAGATTTACTAAATTAATTCCTTACCAGAACCTCTAGAAAACTGATGTTTAAATTAAAGATTGTGTCTGAATGAAATGAAAAGACTTTTTGCATGCATTTAAAGGCTGGTTTCGTGAGATAAGAACATTGCTTACATTACAAATATATGACAATTGTTTCTATACCCCTAAATTTATTTAATAATGCATTCATATTTTGCTTAATAACATTGCTCATGATTACCATCATCGGACTTGTGAATAAAAAACTTTAGAGTTTTTTCCATTGGGGATTCAACTTCTTAGGTTTTTGTTATTTGTTTCTTTTTAATAGCAGTGTGCGTACTTTTGAAACAACACAATTCCCTTGATATCAAATTTGTAGTTACGGAGAAAACATAAATTTGTATAATATTGTTAGGACGGTATTTAAAAAGTGACTCATATGGAATTTCATTTTGGTAGTCCTGATAATAAATATAATTTTCAAATTTTTTTTATACGTTTGTGTTGCTCAAATAAACCCCTCGCGAACGCCAATGCTCAGAAATACGTTCTTTGGGGAATACGAGTATCGGCTCAGTTTTTCTACTTTTCATGTTAACAAGGGGCGAATCAAAACTATTAATTTTCAGTATAGTTCGGTTATTCATATAGAGAGCCCAAAATGCGGATAGAGTTTTTCGAATTATTTCTTTTTCTTTTGTGTGTTCCAAAATCCGAGGCGTTTATTCCAGTGGACACTGCATATATTACCGAGCAAAATAAATCCATCGAATATGAGTTGCGTTACTTCCAAAACCAGACAATAACATTTTGTTGTCCTCGCAAGAATATGTTAGCCGATGGAAGGTGTATCGATGGCTTGCAGGAGGAGCTTGCCGGGTCCAAGCTGTATCTGAATGTCACTCGCGATGATTGGTCAATTGAGCCATGGTACATTTCCACCAACCAAATCGGAATAAGATCACTATTCTTGGAATGCGATAGGATGCGCAAAGTGAGGAAAGACGACTACATGTTGTTCGAGGTTTGCCATTCCTTCATCTGGCATCTGTGTTCCTGTCTAACTTAAGATCTTTAGAATGGAACCTTAGTTTTACTCTCCATGAATGACTACTGGATGAAAGAGGAGTTTTGCCTCTACCCCTATAATTTTGCTTCGGATTTTCCCAACACAATATGGATTGTTACACACGAATGCACAACGAGTACAAAAATGGGAGCCAGTGCAAGTAAGTAAGCTAAACAACTTTCTGTGTTAGCTTTTAATCACGGCTTATATTCTTGCAGTCACGGTTGTATCGATAATATGCTAT